TATTATAATTTTGTTAGTACGCAGATGTGTTTTGTGCATATATAGGGTAAAATAATTCTGAGTAGTATTTTAGATCAGATTCCTCCTTCCAAAATGAGTTTATCAGTGTCAGTGGGAGATGTTTGTTCACTCCCCATTAAGCAAAAATATTGGATCAGTGTATCTCTTCATAATTCATGCATGTGATATTCTTTTTGTAACTTGGGAAGAGAAATTCCTGAAAGCTTTTTTTGGGGTGAGGGAGATTTCAGTATACTTCAGATGTCTTGTTCAGTGTTGTAAAGTTCAGTGAAAGTGTATCATATCTTGTTTTACTTCATACGGCTTGCTTGTATCCAATAAAAGCAGTGCCATGTCCAGATAGTAGTAATAATACACAATTACTTCTCTAAAGAGTGGAGTACCAAAGCAGCTATCAATATGAAATTGAATTGATTTAATTAACTGAATTTTGATCATGCACTGTATAAAATCAGTAGTCATACAGCATTGGCTTCATAAATCTCTGAGCTGCTGAAGTTCTTATAGTCCTACAAGTAGAACGTGACTGACCAGGCATATCTGAAGTAAATCTTCAATTAAAGTTCTTCGTATTACTATGCATTCAAATAAGATACATTTCTAAAGACCTTCACTGGGTTTATTCTGTCAATGCTAGGTTTATTTATTTATTTGCTTACTTCTGCCATGATTGTTGTAGTAGAAAATCTAACCCCTGTTTATTTTTTCCTTAGAAAATTGCCTTCATGGTAGCATTAGGACTGGTCACAACAGAACATTTGGAAGGTAAGATAGCATATGTTGTTTTACAGTTCAGTTTTTGAGTGAAATGTTTTCTCTTGGCTGCACTGCAAACAAGAGGAACTGGTGATACTGTCCTCTAAAGGGCAATGAAAAATCAGGTGAAATATGAAACTATGCACAGTTGTGCTCTTCAGCCTCAAAATAATGGGTGACCTTACTTTGCTCTGCCTCCCATCCCTCTGCACAGCTCAAGGGGCAGGAGAACTGGCCCCGCAGCCAGCACCAGGAGGCTTGGCATAAGCTGGCATTTGCACTCACTCGGTCATCATGGTCCTTTAAAGGATGTTAACAACTGGAGGATGATTGATAGTGAAGCAAAAAGCCTACAAAGGCTCTGACCAGCACCGATCTGGTCGAAGAATGAGCGAGGTTCAAAGACGTTTACTCTGATCTTCTGTAGCAAGGATGCCCTCCCCTCTTTCCCATGTGAGATGGACTTTCATTTTTTTGAGTTAATCATCTATCATCTCTAGAGTTCCACAGAATAATGTGCAAAATAGTGGTGAAAATCTGGCATTTGTTTTATAAGATTTTAAGCAAATTAGAAACTACCTCTCATGAAGACTTCCTTCCCTCCGTTTCCCCTCATGTAGCAAACAAAAGAAACCAAACCAAGCTTCCAAGTCTGATCCTGCTTTTGTGTGAGAGCTGCTAGCACGCCTTCCTAGGCTTCTGAATATGGGTTCAAGCAAATATTGCACATAAACTAAATGCAGTGTTCAGTTTACTTTTACAACCTTTCAAAAATACCTTTTTTTTTTGAGGTATATTTATCTGTAAGAGCAGATTTGTGCCCTTCTTTGCCTCAGCTTTGTCTTTCTGAAAACAGATGTGAGATGAGTTGGGGGTTTCTTGGCACAATGGGTTAGCTCTCATGGGCAGAGAAGATACAACTATTTTTAATAAAAAGTCTATAGCTTGATGTGTTTTCATTACGTTCTCAGCTAACGTAAGTTGGTGTGGCTCCACCAGTATAAGGAGAAAATCTGCTATCTGTATCAGCTGACAATGATTCTTGATCACAAAAAATGTTAATGTTAATTGACCTTTACTACCCATCCCATGGACCATTGTCAGCAAAATATTTAGGAATTTCCAGTGCATTGAGTTTAAGTTTTATGTGCTTTAGAGTTAGGCACATGCTTAAATACCTTGCTGACTCAAGAGGTATCTACTGGTTTACAGCTTTATTTCTTTTTTGTGAGGTTCCCAGTGCTTCTGTTTCTCGGTTTTAAGAGAGGTCGTGAGTTACGTAGAAAAGACCATCTTAATAGTAAGGTCTCCTCAATATATGCGTCAGGTTTTCTGTGGGTCTTGCCTTTTTTCAGTGTCTTTCTGCTTTAAATCTGCATTTTAGAAAATCATTTAATGTCCCAGTGACTGAGAATTTGAAAGCAGTTTAAAGAAACTTTAAGCCATCGGCCTTTTTAATCCCTTAATGGTGATGGATTGAAATGGAAATTAAAAAGCTACAGCAATTTTGGGAGAAGATGTATAATCCAAAAAGTGCAAATGATGACTGCTTCTTGTTTTCTTTTTCTAAGGAAAATAGGACAACATTTGAAATTATGCTGAAGTGCAAATTATGCTTAAAACAGAGAGAACTTAACTTTGAATAATTCTTTACCCTTTGATTTTATTGGAACTAATAAATTGTTTGTGTGGATTTAATGCTTGGTTCAAAATGCCAAGTACTACTCTGCTCTGTTTGTTCTACAGTAAGTACAGAGACACACATTTTGAACCTAACTGCTGCAATACTAATCCTGCAGAATCAATTTTTTCAGACAAATTCACTTTTTATATTCCTACTAGCTTCAAATAAATGGCTCCCACCAAGAGCTATTTACTATGGAAAGGATATTTCTTCATGAGTATTGGTGATTACAACTGTCAAAAATACCCTTTTAGCTTTCACGTGCTAAAGTTTCTTATTTTAGTGCTGTGTCATTTTTACGGTTATCAGCCATTGCTATTTATCAGGAAGCAGTGGTCATTACACAGTTCAGTTTATTTCAGTACTTCTAATGTATTTCTCAGTTCCAAATTTTTTGAATTAAACTGTATCAAGATTGGGTCATTAAAAGCTTATTCACTCAGTATCATTAATTCACAGTGTTACTGCTTTTCTTCATTTTATTCATTAATGTTGGGCTGAAGGGCTATGATCCACTTCTAGATGGATTTTTCTATCAGCCTTTCCACCTAACGTCCAGAGGAGCATCTTTCCCCTTACTGGGAAAAGAGCTCCATTCTGCAGAGCCTGAGTGTGAGGCATCTTTCGAGGCCTTTACCAGTAAACGAACACAGCTGCTCCACTGACTGACATTCTGCAAGGTACAGCTTTCACTGAAGACAAATTGTCATTATGGGCCTCATAGAATGACCATACAGAGTGTTTACTGATGAAGGCAGCAGCTCATTGAAGCTTTGCCTCCAACATAAAGCTGTCTTCAAATTTATTAATCTCTGTCAAACATATTATAGTTTAGAGGGGGTTTTTTTTGTTTTGTTTTTTGTTTTTTTTCTGTTTGGGTTATATTTTTTAAATTAATTAACTAAGGAATAAGAAAGCCCAAGTCTGTGATGCAGTGCACGGTTGTAACATTAAATCTCTTTCTCTTATCTATTAGAACACCTTTTAGCATTACCATTGTGTAAAAAAAACCCAAACAAGTAGATAGAAAGAAAACTTTAAAAGAATTCTTCAGTTCAGGTCATTCTAAAAATGCACATCTTATTTTACCGTAGCAAAATAAAACCACTGAAATATTTCCATATAGGTTACAGGAATGTTTTAATCAGTTAAATAATTTATTTTTACTTTCTTAAGCCCTGTTTTGAAACATACACAATACTTTTTAGCAGAAGTAATGAGTAACAAAAGATAGTATACCAGCGTAAGCTTCTGTTCTATCTTGGTGTGATTATTTACAGATACGCTCTTAGGTGTATATAGTCCTTATATCACAAGCATGGATATTTTTTGTTCACAGTTTCCATAAATAAAGTGCTGGCATTGTTCTCTCCCTCCCTGATGGCTACATAGGGTGGAATACATGGAGAGCTGTTTCAGTTCATTACTCTCTCTCTCTCTCTCTTTATTTCCATCTATTCCCACTGCTATTACTTTTCCCCCCAGCCAGCTTTTATCTCTGTACCATAGTGATGCCTCTTCCAAAGATGCGTTCCAGGTAGCTACCACATGTGTGATTCAGACTCCATCAAATATTTCTGTTGCCTTGGTGAGAGCATGTACCAAAGAAATTCTCTCTTAAGCTTGGGACCCAAAAGGGCAGAGAGCTACAGATCCATCACAGTCCTGTTGTGAAGACACTTGGCCCAGTTATGGACCCTGGGACACAGAAACCTCTGCCGTGTTAAATTCTTTGTTTCTGTTTCTGGGCCAGTGAAATGTCACAATCTTGTATCCTTGTGACAACCTGTGAAAAAGACTAAGCCTGGGCTGCCCTAACTCCAGCTTTTTCCCTACCCTGCCACAAGGGTGCTGAGATGCTGCCAGCCCTGGGTTCGCTGGCCACGTAGCCTGGCTGAAAGAACCACAGCTCCAGCTCACACTGTTGAGACCAAAGTCCATGGGTGTCCACTTTGCCAGCGTCAAGGCACGTGATTCCTCTTTTGTGACGTCTCTGGCACCTTTTGGCCTTGAGAGCATTCCACTGATACGCACTGATGCTGACATCAAGAACAACCATCTCTCTTCTAGTGGCTCTGTGGCAGGCTACTGGATCCGTGTCCAGCACTTAGCCTGCTGCTGAAGCCCAGTTCTCTCCAGAGGATGCCAAAGGGTTTGGAAGCTTCAGTATGGAGATTTCAGCATAGCCATAGCATTTCATAGGAAATACTTTCACAGTGGGACAGAACTTTTACCCCTACAAGATCCTCCGGATTGCAGTCTGCGTAGCACCAAGGATGTTAACAAGATGCTGGCAGTGGTTGCAGCCGTGGTGTTTATCTCATGTCTTGGTGCAGCCTCGGATCACACATTTCTTGGTAGTGAGATTCTGTATAGCTCCCGAGTCACATGGCAGCGTATGTCTAGCTCATGTCAGACTGTGAATACAGACCTACCCCTACTCTTTGAATTGCCCTAGGAGGAGACATCTTCTGAGCATGAGAGGTGACATGTTCCTGTGCCAGTGGGAAAACCCAGCCAGAATATGCAAGTAGTTGCTCTTCTGTTTTTCTTGTCTATCTAGTTTCCTTCTGATACATCTATCACTCCAAGAGTGGCAGCTTAGCCAATAGTCCTTCATGAATGAAAAGTTTTGAATCAATATCTTGGAACTGAGGGCAGTACAAAATCCATGCAGAGTGTTGGCCTTGTCTCTAGGGACAAGACATGACCGACAATACTAACACCATTTACTTTAGTAACACTTAGAGTGGTATGCGGCCCCTTTTATTCTGTGGGGAAGTGATCAACCTCTGGAAAGGGTGCCTGGAAACCAGAACAATGTGCTGGGAAACCTATTGCCATGTATTGTAAACATCCTGAAAGCTGGACTGTATCTTACTGTTGGATTGCAAATAGGAGATAGTGCTCAGTATCCTGAAGGCCATTTTCTGTCACTGAGGATGTTCTGAGATAGACGTCTTTAGCTCAGACATTGATGAAAGATGCCAGAACTTCTGCAGAACCAGATGGTGTCCTGAATTTCTGTTTGGTGTGCTCCTGGTCCTCTGGGCTGAAGGGCTAGTGTTCCTGCCAGTTCCTCTTGTTCTGAGAGATTTACTTAGAGCAAGACAGAATGGAGGTATCACCATTGTCGGTGCATTTAGACTAACAACATCCTTCTGGCACCTCAGTGCAGAGACTAAACTTTGCCTTACGATATTCACATAAGAAACATTTTAGAACAGAGTATCAGCCCAGCTCTGCACGCTTGATGTCATGAGATGGATACTGGGTGGCTCTCCTTGCTAAAGCAGGTCTGCTCTTACTTAATTATCAAAATAAAAAGTAGTCTCTAAAATACATGGTTATCATAATCTCACCATTCTAAACTTATGTCAAGAGCTGGAAAAAGAAATTCCATATAATGGAAATGAAATCCTAGCTCAGATAGAAGTAGCATTAAATCTGCGGATTTCAGTGGGCCAGGAATCCTCTTTCTGTGTGTGTTTACAGAAGTATGCATGTGACAAATTGTTGATAAATGCTTTCCTCAAAAACTACCATCTTGAATAGGTGTTACCATTTGGTGGAAGGGAGTTCTCTTGTGTTTCACCCTTTTTCAAACAGGACTGCAATGCAATAAGCCTGTATTTGTGCTGCTGTTTCCAGTGACACAAACACGTGTACGGCTCATAACAACAATTTGCATGCTCAGGATCCTGCAGTTGTGTATTTTTGAATGGATAAATCTTCACGCCCTGGTTAGAACTGAATCTAGCCATGCCGTTCTGACTGTGCTTTTTCTAACCTCTGCAGAGGAAAAGTAATGTAAATGAAATTTAAAAGGATTTCTACACTTTCATCTGTTATGAATTACAAGACCTAACTGCTTTAAATGCTTCATCTTTGTTAATAGTATTTTGAAAGCTCTCTGTTGATTCTTGCTGAATATGTGTCTGAAGGGTTCATAAAAAAAATCTTGTAGGGCAGCAGAAGTCCACCTTGGAGGAGGGAAAAAAAAAAAATGCCTATGTCCTGACTCTTACAAGGAAAAGCTTATTAATGTCAAACCTTGAACTGCAGCAAATATCAATGCTGATGCAACCCAATTATACTTTAGAAACTGAAACTGAACACAAAGCCCAAGGGGTTGAGGGTAAGAGCGTCTTGTTTAACAAGTTAGATCTGCATTTTTCCCTGATGAGTGAGAAACACACAATTCATGTTTCTTTCCATGGTTACAGAAATCCAGAGCAAGCGTCAGGAAAGAAAGAGAAGAAGCACAGCAAATCCAGCCTACAGTGGACTCTTGGAAACAGAGGTACTTTATAATTCACTTTTTTTACCACGGTTCTATTTCATGTCAATAAAAGGTTTAAGTGTTTCTTATTACAAAAGTATATATGAATGCAGAACCACACATTTACTTGTAAAGAGATATTGATGTAGTAAAGAAAGAAAAGTAGCTCAGTAGCTAAGCGACAGGTTTTCACCCCACAACATCACTTGCTTCAAACTCGAATTTGTCTTCATTTTAATAAAGGCCAAAGGACTAAATTTATGTGGGACCTAATTGCTCTTTTACCCACGTGGATGGTCCCTTTAGGACAGAACTGAAGAGCAGAAGGGCTGTATTATGTTCAAATTTGCATTGCTATTTTGCATTTCCTGTGTGCCAAATAATAAATAGAGAACTTTGCTTTTTTTTATTAGTGATATTCATAAAAGAGATGTGTTGGTTTAAAAATCAGTGTGCACTGCAGAGGGTGTGGAAGCCTGCATAATAAATATAATAATGCATAATTAAAAATGAAATGCTCTGGATAATCTCTGTTGTCTGTTACCTGTATGCTGTTACATTTATGGCAGTAACAAAATTTGGTCCTACATAACATTGGATTGCAAACTTGGTGTAAAAGCAACATATAAATATAGACTTAAGTTTTTCTGAAATTGTTTTTTTCTTTGTTTCTGCACTGGTATTTATTAATTTATTTAGAATATTAAAATTCCACCTTTAAAATTTTACCACAGTTTGGGGTTACTATTTGAACGTCCTACAGCAATGAAACGGATTTGCAGCCAGCTCTCCATTCAAGCAAGATTTCTCCATGTTTTGGGCTCTTTAAGCCTAAAGAAAGTGATTTTTCTTTAGGTACAAGCAATGCAGAATTTTTGGTATGTCAACATTTCAGATTTCTGTGTTTGTTGACATCCAGCAGACAGATGAGGCTAAAAAGAAACTCACCACTGTAGTCAAGCTGCTTAGTGGCTTGATCATTCTTTTTTTGAAAGTAGTGAAGATTTTTATACTCCAGAGCAGCTCTGAGCACTTTAGTTCTTCAGAACTCAACATTTCTCTAGCAACCTCTTCAGAGCAAATACTGATGTCCATGTATCCAGTATTTAGCCCAGTAGGAACCTTAGTCTTGCTAGCATTAAATTTGTAGTGTCTTCTCTTAGACTTTTTTGTCCTGATGAGTTTATTAAAATACTTGCAGCAGAGTTTTGTGCTAGTAGTCTGATCAGTGTTTTCAAGAAACTTAATTTTTGAATGGAGGAGGTGATGGAGGACATCTGCTGCACTCCTAGTTCATACTTCTCATTATATCTATTCTCAAAAGCATATCCTGAAGTGAAAGATGGCAGAGAGAAAGAAATGTCTGTGAAAGGCTCCTGTGGCTGATCAGCTGTGTCCTCATTAGGAGTTGTCATTAAGTACTGACCATGGGGAATGCCATTCAGCTAAAATGGAGGCAGATGGTTTTTCTCTGATCAATTAGCTGTTCAGATTGATTTGCTAATCAGTGAGTTGAGGTATTTTGTGGCATTTCAGGCATTTTGGTGCAGTTTAATTTACAGTTAGTCTACTGAATGATCTTTAATTCATGATTGTTTAAATTGAAATTGCATATAAATTAGACTCTTTATTTGCCAACACCCTCAAAACGGCAGGAGCTCAGCGTCTGTAGTGGTAATGCTAACTTCCTTGATTACAAAAATGTGATCACAGTCTTATGTCTTCACTTGAATGTTGTGCTTTTTCTTTTCAAAGCTTTTTTCTTTAAAAAAAACTAGATAACATTCTGTTTTCCCACCCTCAGTAACTTTTTTTTTTTCATCCCCCCCCCCCCCCCTTTTTTTTTTTTTTTTTTTTTTGCATAGGAAAGGGTTAAGTTTCAGGCTGGGTATTTTTTGAAGGAAGAAACAGCTATTCAAAATTCATTAACAGACTGGCAGGCACCCGTGTATAAGAGAATAGTTTACTCACCACAGAATAAATCATTTATTAGCAAAAACCCTCTAATTTTCTTCCAAGCAGAGTCTAACAACATCTAATGTAGGAAAACAGTACTGTTTCTAGTCCTGCTGTACAAGTCTTGGATGGCTCACAGAAACAATTAGGAGTTATATAGACTGTTAATGAAGCCCAGCTTGCTATTGACCAACAGCTTTTACCATCTGACAAGCTGGTGATGGGCTGCATTAAATTAGTTAAACATCTCAGTCTGGTTTCCAGTGGTCTGTGTTTCCAAGTTTGAAAGTCTGTGCTGACCTTAGGAGACTGAAATCGCTGCCAGCTCCTAGAGGTCATACACATTAACTTCTGAAAGAGAAATATTTTGCTTAGGCCCTAGTACATTGCAAACAAAGTATGTTCCTACAAATTGTAGTCAAGTGTCGCAGAAGGTCGGGACGCTTTTCTGCAGGTGGGAAGTCCATCACGATTTCTATATATGCAAATAAAGATGTCATCTCAGAGCAGCAATTTATTATGCAGTTTTTCCTTTGTGGATATTGTTTATTTGCTAGGTTTGGAGTTACTGTTGCTGTTGCCTTGCTCTTACCAACCTCTGCAACACATCCAGCAACTCAATCAATAACACCTGCAGTTTGCATTTCTCTCTTCTTAATAAAATCTAACTGCTCTATGAAGAACTTGTTAGAAAGGTAAATCATGCAACTGTTTGTATGACTGTCTCAGGGGTTAGCAATGAATATTCTAAGTCACAGACCCAGCTTCTGGACAGCTGGCTATGTATGAGGGAAGAAGCTCATGGAGACTGTTAATATGAAGTAGTAAGACAGAACCAGAGCACTTTTCAGTGACACTGTGGTTTGTTTATTTTCCCTTGTAGCGGAAACGCCTTGCATCAAATTATTTGAATAACCCGTTGTTCCTTTCAACAAGAGGTAAGCATATTTTTAAATGAATATACTACTATTCTAATGACATGTTAAATATTTATTAGTAGGATTTCATATGGATTGCTGCTAGGGTACCATAGGACATTACGTTGTGTAAAGTCCCTGCACTGTTTAGTGTGCAGTGAAAATAGATGGTTTTCCTGCAAAAACAATTGAAGGATAAAGCTAAAGGTTAAAACTGTGGAAATGGATCCAAAGTCTCTGCAATCAGTGGAAAATCTGATCTCTAGTATTGTAAGCACCATGCAGTGAGAGGACTGATTGAAGAATGCAGTGTTGCCAACACCAAGTGCTTAAAAATATATATTGAAAAATTAGGATTTGAAAAATAATTACTATTCTGGGCTTTTTGTTTACCTCTTTTCATGAGTTCTAAGAAACTGCTGTCCATCCTCAAGGTCTAGAAGTTTACCATACTTTTTGCTTTAAAAACAACAGCTGAAAACCACATAATTTTTCTGATTCCAAGAGCTGGACCCATAAATTTAGCTTTGATGGCCTTGAAGATGCCTTCCAATCTTGTATTTATAAGAACTTAAGATGCTGAAAATTGCATGGTAAAAGCCTTGAGAATGAACAGTTTGGAGAAGCCATTTGGGGGTGATGATGATTAGCTCATGTGAAGAAGCCTATTCCAGGAAAAACGTGCAACATATGGAAAAGGCAAAGAGTTCAGAGGTAGGAGATGAAACAAGGAGAACACTGAGTACAGTTTAATTCTTCAGATGAGGCCCACGTAGTATTTTACGAGAGAAAGTGTGTAGCTTGAGTTCCATTTTAGAAGAGGAGAGTAAGTCAGTAAAAAACGTGATTATATCCTTGTCCTTGTGCTGCCTTTATAACTTAGGCCCTCCTGTGGTGCATTGAAGGTAAGGGAAGACAGGCCTTTTCCTAAGCCAAATATTATTTCAGTATTAGGAGCATTTACACAGGTAATTTCAATTAAGACGTGAAGTTCTCACATTTTTTCAGTGTTTGCTTGATATACTTGTCAAGTGTCATGTAGTGCTTGAGATTCACCTTTCTAGCCCTGCCTCAAATTCCTGTGCTACAGGATCACCAAGTGAAAGGCAGCGGTGCTTCTCTCTGCCTTCAAAACCTTATGTGCAAGATGCAGACAATTGGCCTACTTACCATATGCCTCTAATGCATAGGGTCTCAGAGGACAAGAGAGGTTATTACATGGTAAACAGCTATGATGACAGGCTTCTTAGCAGGAGCTCATGCTCATGTGAGCCCCAGTGGAGAGAACATTGTTTCTGGCTTAGTTTTATCTTCAAAATTAAAACTATAAGTTATTATTTGTCTTATCATAGCATTTGTTTTTCCCATGTAAACACATTGGAAAAAACAGGAGAGAATGGCGATGTTAGCAAGCCATGCTGCTAGCCCCTTAGTGGATTTTATTTAAGTTAGGGTTTGATATGCCTGACTGTCTTTCTGCCACGTGTTTCCCATTTTATTTGCAAGGAAGTAGGCAAGTGACAGAGCTCTAGTGATGTGGCTGTCTCAGAGCTGCTTGGAAATCAGCACTCTCTCTCCTTAATTGTTAATTCCTCTTTGAGTGCTGTATCTTTGATTTTCCCAGCATCCGGAATCTGCACTGGGATTCTGCATATTCTATAAATTTTAAGCTGGAGTTCTTTGTAGCAGAACTCCCCACCTCTGTAGGGTTTATTAGCTACATGCACTGGGCACTGTGGTGTTAGGTGCTATGTAAGCTCTGAACTGAAGGCAGATGCTCTCCCAGGCAGCTTGGCCCTGCAGTGCTGTAGTTGTCTACCTTCAGTGCTGAGCTGACTGTCACCTGTCTTATAGAACGCTCCTTTAAAAAAATTGTCTTCAGTTTAATTTCTCAGCAACTAGAAGACAGAAGTGGACAAATTTTAAAATGTTTTAAACTTTATAGTAAAAGTGAGCTGAAAAGAGAAATAAACAAACTAAAAAAAATCCCTTTGAAATACAGGAAAAAACTGTCATTTCCAGAAATGCAGAAGAGAACAATTCTTGCAAATTTTGAGCAAAATGTCAATTCATCGTGATTCATTTATCTGAAAATGCCTTACCTGAAATGAGGTCACATCCCCTGACATGTGTCATTTGTAGGAAAGACTCTTCAATTATCAAACCTCTGTTTATCTGAGTAACATTTATATCCCCTGAGTAATCGCGATGTCATATCGTGGTAGATCTCTGTGTGTGTATTTGTGTATATGAAGTGACAGCTCCAGATTTTATAAGTCTGTGATTATTTATGGAACTCAGTACCAAAGGGTGCTACAATTGTTGGGAAAATTAGTAAAATGTATGGAAAAAAGATCTGTCTAAGGCTGTTAAATATAAAACTGAAGATGCAAACTGCATGTTAGGGAAGTCCATAGACTGCTAGTGTCTGGAAGGATAATTCTGGAATAGAAAAATTTACTCTGTGCTTGCCCTGTTCTTGCACTCTGTGCGTGAGTGGCAGCACTGGATGCTGTTAGCAAAGGACCCCAGGCTTTATAGCTTTTGGTCTAACTTAGGTGAAGTTGTTCCTTCATTCTTATGTTCCTTTTACTACATGTGTGTGAGGTGTGAATGTGTCTGTATCTTCAGCCATATGCACACATCAGGTATAAAACAAATGTGTAACAGCAGGACGCAGCTCCCAGGTTGGTCTGTATACGTGGGATCAAACCAGCACCGGGGCAGCTGTATTCACATTTGTGATCAGAGAGGGAGCTGAAGAAGGACATAAGGACAGAAATAATCAGTTTAGTTGTCTCCACTTTAATTCAAAGAAAGGCCTCTCCATCAGCTGTTTGTCAATGGGACAGTGTGCACCAGCCTCTTACAAATCAGCAGCAAAAATTACAACCCACTGTGCGGTTTCCATAAAGCTGTTAGAATTTTCTATCTTTTTCTTTTTGGACTAAAGTGCGATGAATTTCACAAATATTTTTATGAAAGGCTTAGCCTGCTTTCCAGTGAGCTCTGATGGTTCTTGTTCTTATCAGGCTGTGGATGCAATCACTACAGACTCAGTTCATCAAAAGGTCAGAAAATCTTGGTGCTTTGGGTGGGAGTAGTTTGATGATAAAGAGTTGAAGATAGCATAAAGCTCAGTCACACAAGTAGCTGACCATTTTGGCCATGAATCAGCTGAACATCTAAACGTATGGTAAGTCAGTGGCACCAATTTCATACTCCAAGTTAAGCATCTGCTTAAGTGCCTTGCTGGTTCAGGGCCAGACTGTTCATCACCCAGCAGGCTGAAGTCCTTAAGAAAGACTTTCTGACTACTGGCATATGGAGAGGAGCTCTGCACGAAAATTTCTGAAAATTTGAAATAGAGTGTGCTTCTCATACTATGACTTTTTAGCATCAGACCTTTGGACATGGGATTCCTGGAATGTAAATTTTAAAATCTCAAACGCTAATTTCACTGCTTGCTGTTGCATTCCTTCTTGCCTGTGTTAATTTTGGCAACGTCCTGATCTGCAGTGTCACAGCTTGACTAAAATTACTCCCATAGCTGAGAACTAGCATTCACTGCAACAATGTGTTTCCCACTAATCTATTCTCTGCCCTTCTTTCATATGCTAGCAAATGAGGATCCATTCTGGAAGGTATGTGTAGCAAAATTTGTGTAATATCAGTGTCTTTCTCATCACCACGTAATTTAGTGCTTCTGATTATTGTAGCCCCTATCAAGGTACATAATTGCAGTATTCTCTTTGCCTTTCATACTGCTTGTGTGAAACGTTTCCCACTTAACTGAATCTTTCACCGTCTAAGTTAGAATTTCAAAGAAATGAACTCTTGGACTTCCGTGTGCAAGGCTTGAGTTTAATCCCTTTGTAGAATCTGCTGTTGAGAAATTGCTAGTCCAGATTTGTGTCTCTAATGAAAATTTTAAGAAAAATGAGTAGCCATGCTGGTTTGTATAGGTTAAATCTCTCTTACATTGAGGTTAAGACTTTTTGAGCAGGTAATTTTAAAACAGGAACATTTTGGAGAGTGATTTTTTTTTTGACAGAACTGAGTTAGAATTCAAGATATAAGCCTGACTAAAACTATCATGAAATATAAATTATAATTGATGTCCCTAAAAATGAAAATACACTTTTGGCATTAACAAAGGTACAAAATTATTATTCTCCTTCCTTGAAAAGCACTGTAAAATTTTAGGTTTTTTACAATGATTCACAAGCCATGAGAGTTTCAAAATCAGTATCTCCTTTATTAAAATGCACTTAATTATACAAAGAGTAATTAACATTGCCACCAGATTAGCATAGCAATTTCCTACATGACATTGTAACTTTGTTGATGAGTCTTAGTTCATTTTATATATTGCTTCAGACAAAGTACTAATCAGTCTGTTGGATAAAGGTTGTCAGACTCTGAACAGAGAACAATTAGTGGAAGAGAGAACAGAGGAACAGAGGAGCCCTCTGGAGGAGTGCACAGATGAGGGTACATAGCAAAAGGTTGTACTCGAGCATACTGTTTTCCTAGCTGCTCTGGGCAATGGCCATAAAACATGGAACTGTGCTTTTTCCTCAGAAACTTTTCCTTGCTTGCTTCCTTCTGCTTTGGACTTGAGGAACAAGTGATCCACATACTGACTTTGACCCACACTTCAAAATAGAGCCGTACATGGTGATAGATGTGTTGGACTGACACATTATCAAAAACAAGTGAAATAATTTCAACATCACAAGCTGGCTATATTAGTCAACTCCCTCCTGTGTTTGATTATCTGGGTTCTTTTTTTCTGTCTCTTTCAATTCATGGAACTTGCTTCTGGCTCTTTTGTTTGTTTGTTTGTATTTGTTGCTATCATACACCATTATTTCTGTCTTCTTCTACAGAGGCGAGGGTCCTTTTGACAATTAGATTTTGTGTTTGAATGAGCCTGCCTGCTGCAATAGTGGCTTTGAATGCTGTATAGAAAGAAGTTCTCAATGACCCAAGCCATCCTTCTTCTAATCTCTTGTAGAATGAGATCCACCACGATGAACACTGCACTGCTTGCAAGCATGGCGTTAACTTGCAGCCCTGTGGCACATGTCCCAGAGCATATCACCTCAACTGCTTGGACCCACCCCTCAAAACTGCCCCCAAGGGGACTTGGGTCTGTCCAAAGTGCCAACAGAAGGTAAGTTACGTGGAGCATAGCAAACCAATAAAAGAAAATGGGAGAAAGCTTGAATTCGTGTACTGCTAAACTAATCTATCCTGTGGTCACAGCTTAGGGGACCACATTAGCTAAAGTAATACTGAGAGGTTTTTAGTACAATTTGCAGCATATGTTTCTGGAATTTTCAACATACACTGAGTGTCTTAGCTTTGCTGTAATCGCATCTGCTAAGTTTGTCCTTTTAAAATGTCTCTTCATTTCCTTTTTTTCCCCTTCTTTACTATAAAGCCCCCAGCATGTAGGGTTGCCAGACAAGTAAAGTAAACCTTATAGATGAGGGAGAGTGTCAGAAGCAGACACTGTTCACCAGTGGATCTGAAAGCTGTAATAAGAATGCTTCCTTTACTTTAAATCGTGTTTGTTACATGTAGCTATTGATCACAGCCATGTCAGAAATGCTAATTTGTCTAGTTGCTGTGAATAATGCTGATTGCATGAACAGGAAAACAATTACTAAAGCAGTACAGTGTCACTAAATTGTAGCGTGGAGGCTTAGATTTTGTGCCTTAGATTTCTTTGTGTTTAGCATTGAGATCACTGTTATGTTCCTTTGAAAATGTCAAGGGGAAGTTCTAGCATGCAGTTGCAGAGAGCAGAGCAGCCCAGGATTACATCTGTGAAGTCAAGTTTTCATATGGACCAACAACATCTTCCATGCTCAGTAGACAACACTTGTGATAGTGTGGAGATCTGCTTTTCAGGGGCTGAAGAATGTCTTCTGGCCATGACAACAAGAAACAGGATTTGTAACCCCCTTTTTAGCACTGTTTGGTAGTGCTGCTTATAGTGGTGTGTAAAAGAGTAAGCCCCAATGGAGACTGCTACTCAAATTATTCTCTATTTTCAGCTTACAGATTCTGAGACAAGGACCCTAGATCTGGTCCTGCAGAGCTGTGAGGCTGGAGGAAGTAAAACATTAATGCATGTCGTTGTGGAGTTCTAACTTTTTATTGTTTCCTGGGCTTATAGGTGTTAAAGAAAGATGACAATGTGCCATGGACTGGAACTCTGGCTATCGTTCACTCCTATGTTACTCATAAAACAGGTAGGGATTAACACAGCTATTGACAAGGGATTCCCTGCTCATGACGGGTGATGCCATTTGAGTCCTTCATGGCACTAGTATTAAAGTACCGTTGTAATGCTACCAGGTATCATGGCATTATTAAGCAAAGGGCCATGAGGGGCCCAAGCTGTGGCTGGGTCACTTTCTTTCCCCTTCCCCTTCCCCTCAGTCTGCTCCTTCACTGTCTTCTCTCTTTAAGGAAGCTGAGATTTATCTCTCAGGAGTTCACTCTGTGGAGGAGGCTATCATCAAAGTGGTGCCTTCCTGAGAACAGGGCTGAAAATGGGATTTTGAGGCAGAATCATATCAGTCTGAGAGGCAGAGAGAAACAGTCAGGCTAGGCAGAGCCATGTAACTGGGTATGTAGCAAGATGCCAGACTAGTGCCTCAGATGCCACAGTAATATCAGCTCCTAATTGTTTTGGTATTATTTGGTATTGCAGTCATTAGTATCAGATGTCGTATATCTGTGCATAGACCATTACTCTTTCTTAGTTCCCTGTTGCACTTTTACAATGAGCTGTTTGGGGCATTAGAACATATTTGTAAAGGGGCTTTGCAGATGTTTGGTACTGTTATGATTGTGCTTTTCAGCCAGGGTCACTGAACTATTGCCATTCCAAGTGGCTGACCTGTTCTTAAATACCATTTGCCTCTTTCTTGGAGACCTCCAGGACCATATGTCATCCAAGGTTTAATTTTAATTAATCTCAAAGGTGCAGTGTAGCTTTAGGGTTGTCCTGTGTCCTAGCCATTGACACATGCACGTAAACAGAAACTCCAGATTTGTTTGGCTGTACGTGCTGACAAAAGGCTAATGAAACCTGAAACTCACCATTCAAAATATGCTTCTGCTCTGTGTGGTTAAGTGCAGAGTTTTACCATATGTCCTTTTCTTAACTTCTGCATCCTTAATCTTATTGTTCTGCAGTCAAAGAAGAAGAGAAGCGAAAGTTATTAAAGAGAAGCAGTGAGCTGAAGAGTGAGCATAGACAGTTAGAAGAAAAAGATCGACTTCTCAACAATGCAGTAAAGGTAGGACACCTGACTGGGGACAGAGTCTCTTGCAGAGATATTTATAAAGAATTTATGACTGAAAAACTGATATTTTGGGGCTAGAAAATGATTTATGCTCCCAAGCTACAGATGTTCAAGTGTGAATATGTTTCTCTCTGAAGAAGAACACATAGATTTCCTTTATGCACAAAAGCAAGCAGCTTTGGCAGTCTGAGGAGGAAAAATCAGCTGAATTCCTGTTGCACACACACACAAAAAACAACCACAAAATAGCTATGGCTGCCTTCCTTGTAGTGCCATACACAGCTCTCATCTGCTCGGTGACTTTGAGACACTCCCATTCTCCAGGTGAAAAGTTTCGTCACAAGCATGTTCTCCAGTGGTAGCTGCTTGTCCATTAGCTCAAAACTCTTGAGATTAGGTAGGAATAACCATCTTTGTTTGTCTTAGGGGCTGAATTTTGTAACAACCTCTCCATTACTGGAAATGGATTCACAATCTTTTTCTCTGAGAACTCGTTTCAAAGCTAAATGTTGTCTGGAGATGTCTCCCACAGTCTCTGGCAGCAATGAATGGACTGAGTTCAGAGCCATAATTCCTACCCTTCATGGGTGAAAGAACTTATTTGGGGCTACCTCACCTCAGTCTCACTCTTAAGGGGTAGCTGTTAAGCTTGCATGGCAGTCTTAATAAATACCTGAAACTTCCTTACCCTGGAAAAATCAAAGTGTTTTTTTAGGAATAACTGGTCACTACTTGTTTTACCGTTGCAGTTATCCAGAGGAGGCATGTTGAAATATTTATCACATTTAAAATAGAGTGGAAGGAAAAGCAATAACTTATTAAAAGACATCACAGTGGGGAACATTCCCTGTAAGTGTGTATAGCCACCATCAGCACTAATGGAAGCAAGCATGTGTATGAAGAAGAGAC